AGTCACAGAAAGAAAACGAGACGGAATCTCCCGAATGGAAAAAATGAAATATCTCCGCGGGAGTTTTTTCAACGTGGTCTATCTGAAACATCCCCATCGAACCCCCTTTGTCGTCATAGTCGATCTCATTCTCAAGGATTCGGTTCCAGAAGCTTTGTCGTGTCCCCTGTATCCGAAACCAAGCCTGTGCCAGGAGCTAATAAACTTTGGCCTAAGTTGACAACTGTCTGTCGACAGCCCCATTTATCCATAGATTTTGTAGGGGACCATTACGAGGAGATATCCATCCATTGCAGAGGCTGCAGATGCAGGAATTGAGCATCAAACACACATAGAAACACTGCGTGCATACAGTCAAAAGATACGAAACAGAATATGTATATCTGCCAAGTATTATATGCTGCGCTCTATTCGCAGCGTCACATCAATCACTCCATAGGCTGGCCGCTCACTATCTTTCTGAACCCCTCTCCTTAACTTTTGGTGTCCGTGCACTCCGCTGCCAAATGGACATCCCCTTGTCAACTCCAGTCTTTCCACCTGGACCTTGACACTGCATTGGTTCAATCCCCTTCATCAACGACTTCAGGGCCTTTGTCCCTGGCATATGTCGGCCCAGTCACAAAGGAGAAGGGGAAAAAAGAAAGACGGGACGGAGACCATACATACTGTGCCGTGCGTGGTGCGTGCCACTCACTGCTCGCCCTGCATTGCATATCTGCAGGTGACTTGGTTACGGTTACGGTTACGTTTACGGCTTCTGATTCTGGACTGGACCGTTCTGTTTCTCCAACCTCCTGAACCCTACCGCTTCCCTATCCGTACATCACCAGTTCTCTCCCTCTCCTTGCGACTCACACGAAATTAACGACCCTACCTAGCCTTGGCTTCCCAGCATCTACTGTACGTACGCCATCGTCTCCTCCTCTGTCCCTTGGCCTTTTCGTCTTCCCTGGCCTCCACCGCGAGGCCCTGCCCTTGTCCTGTCCTGTCGTGTCCGTCCCGCCCCGTCCCTGTCGTTCTTATCCTCCTTTGGTTGACCATCTCGGTCCTGTCTCCAGACGGAGCCTCTTCCCCCGCGACCAACAACCGCCACGACTCTATCCGCCCGCCCGCTACTCTCCTCGTTTAGTGCTCCTTGTATCTCGTTGACGTGACCTTGACGAACGCTTCAGTCCTTCCACGTTTTCTGATCAGCGTCCGGCTCCTCGCAATCCCCTCCCTGGCCCTGTCCATCTGGCCTGGCCCTGTCGTGAAGTGACCTCGGGACCCAGTCTTTGGCGGTGACGCCCCTGTTCTCTTCTCACCGGATCGAACTCACGATCTCCAGCGCAACGTCTCGGGCGTTTCCATTGCCTTGGCTCCCGTTGCCTGTGGCCTGGGTCCTCGACTGCTGCTGCTGCTTCTACTTCCTATTTGGTCAGCCCTTTATTCAAGCTCCTTTACTCCTCCCCGCCCATCGCAAACTGTTGTACTCAATCGCCTCATGTTTCGCTATTCACGATCCTCAAGCAAAGCATCATGGTTGATTCTCCAGAACTAACAATCCGTCAGGATTCAGCAGGCGACGAACCTCCTTCTCGTTTCCCCGATCTCGTTAGCGACGAAAAGCCGACCGGCCGATATACCCCCGATCTTCTTGCTGGCGTTTATCGAGGAATTAGAAAGCTACCTTCAGTCAAGCTCTCGAGAAGTCCTTCGCGGTTGCACTTAAAGAGCTCATCCGGAAGTCTACACTCCGCTCATTCCTCCACCTCGAGTGCACCCCCCGCAAGCGAAGCACCTCCTCAGCATGCTCGAAACTTGACCCTTCAGTATAGTCTGTCGAAGCCTCTACCGCGGTCGCCGCCGTATCAAGAATCTATACATCCCCAAGATTCGACCTCCCCCAACCTACCTAGTGTGCCAGAGGGGCAGATTCCTTCACCGAAGTTCTTCGATCCGTCACCTTCCACCTCACCCCTACCGACACCGCCCCCGAAGACAGAAAGCTTCTTTGATAGCCGATCAAGCACCATGGAGTCGACCTCTGCGCCACCGCAGCACCCATATGGCGCCCACGAAGCCAATAATAGCATGAGCAGTGTGTCGAGTGCCTCCAGATATGACTCGCAAGAGCAAAGCGACGGCCTGAAACCCAGAGGTGCTGGATCAGCTTCTGCTGGTCCATCGCCCAATGTCGCTCAGCGGGCAACCCCTGTAGGCGGGCCTTCCAATGGCCCTTCAACACATTTGTCTGGCTTAATGTGCAATGTTCACCGAACGACTGGACGTGAGCCCCACGCCCTAGTCGGAGCTACAACTACCATCCTGGGCGACAAGCTCTATGTGTTTGGAGGCCGGATCCTGTCTAGAAGTCGACCTGCTCCTCTGACCTCGGATATGTACGAGTTGGATCTGATTCGTCGACACTGGACCAAGCTGGAAACAACAGGCGATGTTCCACCACCTCGATACTTCCACTCCATGTGCGCTTTGGGTGACACCAAGATGGTTTGTTACGGTGGCATGTCACCTGCCCCTAACCAGCCTCCTGGTGGCGACCAACAGCAACCCGAAATCACTGTCATGTCTGATATCTACATCTACGACGTAAACACTAGAGCGTGGACCTTTATTCCGACACAAGACCCTCCCCAGGGCCGCTACGCTCATTGCGCCTGTATTCTTCCTTCATCTGCCACCTTTTCTTCGCACCGCGCTCCTCTTTCTGCTCTACAACATAATCCTTCGACTGGCAACCCTAATGAGGGCCGAATCGGCATTAATATTGATGGCTCAGGTGGTGCAGAGATGGTCATTGTTGGTGGACAGGATGGCAGGAACAACTACATTGAGCAGATCAGCGTCTTCAACTTGCGAAGCCTGAAATGGACCTCAACACAGCCTCTGGACAGAAGCTGGGGCGCATATAGGAGTGTGACTGCCCCTCTTCCACCTTCAGTGGCTTCTAAACTCGGTCGACGACAGTCGAACGGTATGCAACGCCATGATGGAAGTATCAGCCAAGAAGCTCGTGAACCAGGTGCTTCGATGTTGATATACTGTAACTATAACTTCTTGGACGTTAAGCTCGAACTACAAATCCGGGCACCAGATGGTACTCTCACGGAAAGGCCAATGTCAGGCAACTATTCACCACCAGGATTGCGATTCCCGAACGGCGGTGTTATTGATACCCATTTCGTTGTCAGTGGCACATACCTCACCTCATCTCGACAAGAGTATGCGCTCTGGGCTCTGGATCTACGAACTTTGACATGGAGCCGTATCGATGCCGGAGGAAGTGTGTTCAGCCAGGGCAGTTGGAATCGCGGAGTTTTATGGAACCGCCGAAACACATTTGTGATCTTGGGTAACAGGAAAAGGAGTCTCGTCGATGACTATAATCATCGACGTATCAACTTTTCCAATGTGTGCATGGTCGAGTTGGAAGCATTTGGCTTTTACGATAATCCCCGCAAGACAAGTCCGCTTTCAGGTTTCATCTCAGCGAGCAGCCCTTATGCTGGGCCTGGCCTGAGTTTGGCGCGCAAAGCAGGGTACACAGCGGGCGGACGATACCACTCAAGGGCGAGCGAGGAGCTTGGTGAGAAGTCATTCGCCATGCGTGAACTTGCCGATATGGATATTCTGTGCATTGGGGGCGAGCGTATTCCAGTCAACTCGAGAATCGTTGGACGACGATGGGGGCCTTACTTCGTGCAACTTCTACGGGAGGGGACGGCGACACAGGATGGCAGCGATGCCGTGACCCTTAGATCCGGTCTCTCAAGCAACCCCTTACGCGCGTCGGCTATCACCATCACACCAAACTCGAGGGTGGCAGATAGCTCATCGTCCATGATTAGCACTGTTGGTTCATCCTTGAGCTCTTCTGGTGCTCCTTCAAGCACCGCAGCATCAAGTTTTACCACAGGCGCCATGAGCCATGAGGCCAACCCGACGAACATCAATGCAGCGCCTACGCCTCACTCACTACCACCAAACTCAAGACCGAGATGTCTTTACCTCCCACACACATATCTTACGATACAGGCGCTGCTTCATTTCCTCTACACGAGCTCTCTCCCGCCTCCGACATCTCCTCTTTGCACCCCGCAAATTCTTTGCTCGCTACTCCAGATCGCCCGGCCGTACCGTATTGACGGACTATTGGAGGCTGTAGTTGAGCGACTTCACGCCTTGCTCGACAGTCGCAACGCTGCAGCTGTTTTCAATGCTACAGCCATGGCAGCTGGCGGTGGCCGAGGCATTGATGGATCTCTCAACCCTAATTTCTTTGTTGGAACTCTTGATCCTGTGGGCTCGCCTACTGCCACTTCCGACTTTTCTCTGGGACATACCCCTGGCGACAGTTTCTCATCGGATCTTCAGACTCGTACTGAGGGTCTGACGCTCAACACCAATGTGCAACAATTGAGCCGACCCTCCAGCGATGAGCTATCTGCTACAACAAGCCAGAGCGGATCGGAGTGGAGTTCCTCGGAGATTGGTGGCAGTGAACGAGACAACTTTGTGTGGAATGGTGAACTTAGCAGTGTAATTGGCCTACAGAAGCGAGGTCTTCGAGGCTTGATGGAGGGCAGGAGGATGAGAGAACGAACAGGCACAGCAGCCGGTGGAAACGGCATGGGACCAAGCTACACAAGCGCACAAGGCCAACAGCGTGTTGGTCTGGGCATAGCAGGATCATGAGTTGATCAGGGCGATTTATGAAGCGGGCTAGGGATGGACTCGGCAAAAATATTGTGACATGTAATGAACCCAGTCATGATCTGTAGAAGAGGTGGATTTTGTAGGAGCGTATATGAAGCATTGATGGACATAACACTTCAAAGTAAATAGCATTATCATCACGTCTGATGAGTTCATTTGTTAGACATTTCACCAAACTTCAATTTTCTTTCCATGTGAACCATTCTATACAATGATACTTGAAATAACGCTAATGAATTATAATTAATTATGCAGTGGGTATCCGATCTATATGTAACTTCTTACAACTTCGCCTTTCCACCCTGAATCTCTCCCCAATCCTTCTCTGTAAAAGGTACATAACTCTCCCCCTTGAGCCAGTAAATCTCTCCAAGACTCTTATCACCTGCTGGATCGACACCTGCCTCTCGCAGGGTATGTTTCTGCTGCTTCATAGTCCCTGTGATCTGTCCACCGCCGAGCTCACTCATGATTCTCAAGAACAACGGTCTCGCGAACTTGGGTAACTCAGCGCGCACGTGTGTAGCTATGTCCTGCATTGTCTCTGCGGTAGGATCAGAGGATAGATGGATTGCGGCACAACCTGCTCTTCCGTCGTGATGAGGGAGCGATACGCCGTAGACATTTGCTTCTTTGACGGAGGGGTGTTTACAGAGTGCATCGCTGACTTCGGCGGTAGAAACATTCTCGCCCTTCCAGCGGAATGTATCGCCTATGCGATCGTGGAAGTAAATCCGTCCATCGCTATCCCATCTCACGACATCGCCTGTGCGGAACCAGGTATCGCCTTTACTAAACACATCGCGAAGAACTTTTGCTTCTGTCGCTGCGCGATTGTTGTAGTAGCCTTGGAAGCGACCGAATGGGTTTCCTGACGGTAGGCGGAAGAGCATTTCGCCTGGCTCGCCGGTACGAGCTTTGTAGCAGCGACCTGTGTCGGGATTGCGCTTGGGGAGATCAGTTTCCCAGTCGACTTCTACCAAAGCGACGGAGAAGCTCATGATGAGGTTGTATACCCAGCCATTACGACCAATTGCGCCAGCGGCGTAGTCGTTTTTGCTGAGGTTGAAGGTCGCAAATGTTCCTTCAGTGGCAGCGTAGAATTCACAGATTCCTTCAACGCCGAACCGTTCTTTGAATTCATTCCAGATATCTGGTCTTAATCCGTTTCCAAAGGCGACCTTGACGTTGTGCTTCTTGTCGAGGCATTCACCTGTTTCAGGATCGTGCTGTGGTGGCGCGGCGAGCAAGTACCGCAGAGTCTCGCCGACGTAGAGGATGGATGTTGCGCCTGAGTCGCGGACTTCATTCCAGAAAGTCTTGGTTGAGAATTTGCGGCCTAGGGCTTGGGTACTTCCTGAAAGGAGCGTTGCGCTAAAGGAAAAGATTGTTGCGGAGGAGTGATATAGGGGCATTGACTGGACGGTTAGCTTGGGTTCGGAAGAAGGGGTGAGAACTTACGGAGTACATGATGTCGCCTTTCGATCGGTCAAGGAGTTGTTCAGACATTGAACCGGCAACGATCAACTTTCCCCATGACACGATGGCGGCTTTGGGCATGCCAGTTGTACCAGAGGTGTAAATGAGAATAGCCATGCTTGAAAGACTCTTCTCGGATCGATCGGAGTCAGGCGCGCGAACACCTTCTGTCGTAGCGATTTGTGCTTCAACTTCAGGAGTATGAACAATGAAGCGGATGTCCTTCAGCTGATGGCGAACATCCTGTCCAACATTCTCTTCGACATTGGGATCCACGATACACAACTTGGTCGTAGCAGCCTTCAAGCAATGAACCAGCGAGGCTCCAGAGAGGTTATAGTTTAGAAACGCTGGCTTCGCTCCAATGCTCCATAGACCAAGCCATACAAAGATGTATGAATCTGAATTCTGGAAGTCGAGCGCAACGATATCTCCTTTCTTGACACCCTCGTTCTTGAGCCACTGTCCATACTTCAGCACCTGTTCGTAAACATCTTTGTACGAAAGACGTTTTCCTTCGAATATGAGCAATGCACGATCAGAGGTTGAAGAATTGGTGGCTATGTTTTCGAGGAGGTAGTATAGATTGAGGCGGTCGGTCCATTCGCGATAGTACATTCGTGAAGCGGCGATGGTTACGCAGCGAAGGAGGAAGAGGTCGTACCATGTTGAGGATCGGGCGTTGAAGTATGCTAGCGATGCCGCGACCGCGGGGGCTGTTATTGAAAGGGGGACTAAACCGTTAGATTCTGTTCGAGCTACAATTTGGTAGATTTACTTACGAGGCATTGTTGTTTACGCAAAAGAAAGAGTTGATGATGAAGAAAGGGTCAAAGTCGTTTGACGTACGTGGGTCGATGGCCTGATAGCGATAAGACAGACGGTGACGACAGCGCAACTCCACTAAAGCACCGACGACCGAGAGTTTATATAAACGCTATAAACGCTGTAAACTGCTTGGCGTTGAGTTTGCTGGTTCATGAATGCTACGGTTTTCGCCAAGGGCACCAAGCAGGCTCAGCTGGCACTCCCCGACGAGACAATTGCCCCATTTGAACTAGATTTCTGCAACCTTGCTATAATTGAGGATATATGCTTTGAAACAGGTATTGTGATGCCTCGGCTGGAAATGAGGCGTAGCAAGTTGATGCGGGGAGGATCTGGGGAAGTTGAGGTAGGTATCAGAGGATGCACATAGTAAAAGATGGGATTGGGATGTCATGGTTCCTGGCGATCTGTTAACGATAGCGCCCGTTGTTAGATGCAGTCAGCACGGCCTTTGCAGGGGTTGATGTGTTGGATCGGCGCTGAAGGCAGTCGATTACAGTGAAGAGAAGGACTAGAACGGCTATGAAACAATAGAGTTTGTTCTTCTGTTTAAGCTAAACTAGGTTCGATTGGTAGGGTCACAAAGACAGCGTTAGGGGCTTGGAGCGTTGTAAAGGTTGAATCTCGAGGTTAATTCCAACACTGGACGTAACGAATGCAGCTGGCTTCAAACTTCCAATTACCGATGAAAGAGGAATCAATCTTGAGAAGAATAATCAATACGTGAAATAATGATCAATTGAAGAGCAAGTCCGTCCAACCGCAAGCTTGAATGAGCTACATAGATGGAGATCATCGGCATCGGGCCTTGGACTACCCGACCTCACGTGATATCGTGATGTCGTGTAGCTCAGCTCCCCATCCCTCCACGCATCGATCCAAATCGACAGGGAGCTCTGATAAGAGCCTCTTCACCATCCCCGCCTCAACTTCTCAATCAAAAACGGCATAATGGCGCCCGGCGACGTCAAAGACACTTCCGCGGCGCCGTCCGCTCCACCCCCAGAGAAACCATCCGACATTTACAGAAGAACCCGTATCGTCATCTCCTTTTGGTTGATAGTGCTGTGTTTGGGCGTGCCGATATGGTGGAAGACTACTACGATCTACCGGGCGAATCTTCCTCTCGATGGGATGATGCAGTGGGCTGAGGGAAAGGTGAGAAGAAGCCTGGGGTGATAATATGGGGTTGCTAATGAAGGGGTAGGCTTGTCGTCCTGTATTTCCTCTTCAGATCTCTGTGAAAGCGGATGCGCTGCAGGAGAACGAGGCGCAGAATCTCGTGCGACTGACGCAGCATGCTCTTGACGACCATAACGACTTCTCTGGACATCACTTGCGTCTTCAACTTGCCCCTAAGGGGGGCGCTTCGCCTTCACCCGCCGCTGATGATGAATCCCACGTCGCCCTCACGATTCAACTTGCGCCTGGCGAGAGCAACTCTGCTACGTTGGATCCCGACTCGGCTGTTCTCAACATCGCATACCCCTCTAACGCAGTCCCTTCCGCCCTCGCTACATACATCGCAAACGAGCTACAATCGACATTCTCCGAAGAACAGTCCATCATTTCATACCTCCTATCGACATCCTCAGCCCCCGATGCGAAACCTCAAGGATTGACCCCCGAGGTCGTCGACAGGTTGTCAAAGCGAACTACACGATCTCTACGATACTCGCCAACATACCATCTTACCTTCTCCCTATTCACAGCCGGCGCAGCACCGAGTACATGGGACATTGAGAAGGCGATCGAGGAGTACATGAAGCCGATGCTTGATGTGCTGGGTCCTATTCACAACTTTACAATTGATACTCAGGTCCAGCTTTATGCTACGCCCGGTGCTCAATCGCAGGTGTTGAGTAAGGAAGACCTCGCGTCTTTCATCAATGCTGCTGAATGGCCTTTGTCTCCTTCAATTGCAGGCGCTCCGACTGTCAACTTTGTTATCTACATTGGCGACCAGAAGATTGGCCTTGATTCGGAGACAGAGACGTCACAGTCGTGGATGTTTCCTCAATGGGGCAGTGTGTACCTGCTTTCGCTCCCCGAGACAACGACGCACGTATCCAGTGAGACACTCAAGCAGCCAATGCTCACATTCACCGGACATTTATTGTCACTCCTGGGTACGCCTCAATCAGGTTCCCTCCCACTACGACTATCCACCCTCTCCCGCATCCGTTCAGCAGATCTCCTCCTCCGCGCCTCCTCAACCCTCGGTTCTCTCGCCCGTCTATCCCTCGCCCTCCCCTCAATCTCAATTCCTCATAGCGTCGCCGATGGCGTTGCATCAACAATGGAGCATCTTCAACAAGCATGTGCCAGTCTCGGCGCTCCCTCTGGACTCTTGCACGCTAGGATCGCAGAGGAAGAGGCAGAGCGAGCGTTCTTCGAGAAGAGCATGGTTGGGCAGTTGTATTTCCCTGATGAGCATAAGATTGCGGTGTATCTACCGTTGTTGGGGCCGGTGGGTGTTCCATTGGTTATGGGACTTATTAATGAGCTTAGAGGGTGGATTCAGAGGAGGAGACAGAGGGCAAAGGATGAGGGAGAGAAGAAGGCCCAATGAGATTAGATTCGATATAGAAGATACCTATGTATGAGCATTAATAGCATATTTTCCCTTGCTATCAGCCTTATATGAGGCCATGAAGCTTCTAACTTCATATACAAAGGCTTAAACAGTGAGCCCTATATATTAGCAGATATAAAGGTCTCGCTGTTTGAGTCTTTGTATGTAAAGTTAGGAGCTTGATGGCCTTGTATAAGGCTAACGGCAAGGGGGCGGGAATAGCATGTTTCTTGTTATGTATGTTTTTCAACCGACTGCCGTTATGATCTTGAAATGAGAGCCACGTGGTTGAAGCGTGCTATTTTTACTTGTGATTATGCCGGATCTCGGCTCTTTTTCCCCGTCTGTGCACCAGCTCTTGACGTAACGCCAGCTTATCTTACACAATCGCATCTCATCCGCAATCATTCCCATTTCCTGCCTCTCTGAACTCAATTGAACCCGCTCACCATGTCATGACACGACCAAAATGCTTCCAGAACCGACACTCACACTAACCCTCCCCAGCATCCACGATGGTATCACCCTCGACTGTCGAATCTACCATCCCCTCTCACTGTCTGCGAACCCAAAAGCTCCAACATGGCTGAAACATGCTGCTGTGATTGCTCATCCTTATGCGCCCATGGGAGGATGCTATGATGACCCTATTGTTGGAGAGGCAGCTGCGCAGTTACTACGGAAGGGGTTTCTCGTAGGGACTTTCAACTTTCGGTAGGTGATTGCCAGGCATGGAGGACTTGAGCTGATTGTGTAGAGGTGCACATGGATCTGCGGGACGGACTTCATGGACTGCGAAACCCGAACGAGACGATTATGCCACAGTTGTCGCTTTTGTTCTACACTACGTTCACGACCTCGATCCCTTCCGGCCGCATATCAACAATACCCTCCACAGCGAACCCTCAACGCCGACAAGGTTAGAAGCACAAATTAGTCTAGACGCAGCTGTTACTTCAGCACCTCGACCACGACCCATCTTGCTCATGGGGGGCTATTCCTACGGTGGAATGATCGTAACGCAGATACCGCCCCTCGACGCAATTCTCCAACCGTTCATATCGCCCATCGCAGGCTCCGACGCCGCAGAAGTTCGACTTCGAGCTGCGCATCTTGCTGAGCAGCAGAATATTGTGCTTGCGAGTGCCCGTGCCGCAATGATGGAGGGGTCAGCGCGGGGGAGGAGTAAGCGTGGTGTAAGAATTGGGGGCGACGAGAGCGGGAGTCCACGACGAAGTCATTCCAGTGCTAGGAGGAGCTTTTCGCTGGACGATGAGAGGTTTAGAAAGGGCGTTCACGATTTCATCGCCAAGGCGAGAGCGGGAAGACATTCGAGAAACGTTTCGCAGAACCCACCTACGACTGTCGTACCGCCTGAGCCGGGAGAGCATCTCCCTCGTATTACGGATCTCACCATGCCACGACCTGCTTACCTCATGATCTCACCTCCCCAAGGCGTGGTCACGCACCTGGCGACCATGTCACTTATTCCATCAGCATTGGTGAAAAACAAAGATCCGCAGGATGTAGCGGCTGAAGAAAAGCTGGTTAGGAACCCGTCACTGGTGATCTTTGGAGATGAGGATGGCTTTGCACCTGTGGGGAAGTTTAGAAGCTGGAAGGCCAAGATGGAGGGGAAGATGGGATCTCAGTTTGGAGGGACGGAGATTGAGACGGCGGGACATTTTTGGGTGGAGGAAGGGGTTTTGGATCAGTTGAGGGAGAGGGTTGGGGAGTTTGCTAATGAGCTACTTGCGGGTTAGGAATTTTATCGGCGTTTTCTTGGGATGTTGGAGTAATGGACCACGAGATTTCTCTGACACTTTGAATCGATAGTTGGTATATAGCAAGGGACTAAGTCAGAAATGAGTAATGAATGAACAGACAATATTTCAATGGCATGAAGCTGGTTCCTGGTGGGACCGCCAATAAACACAATAACAAGCAAGTTGATACGGTACGTTACGTTAATCCATGGATTATCTATTTAGCAACTTTATGGTAGAGCCATATACAACTAGATCTCATTCTAAGAGTTCCCTACTCCTGGTGCTCAAGCTCCTGCGTCTGCTCAGCCTTCTCAACGCGACGCTCGAGGTCCTGACCAGCGGCAAACCTAGCCGTATCCATGAGAGGAACGAACAAGGGGGCTTCGGTAAAGAGATATCGCATCTCCTCAAGGGGTCGGTTGGCGGTCTCGGGAAGGATAGCCCAGAAGTACACGGCGTTGGTAAAGTTACAGACCTAAATTGTCAGTATGTTACTTGTAAGACCGAGTAGAAGAACTTACAATGAAGAGGATATACCACCTCCAGCCAATGCCGTGCTTGTCATCAAGAGCGACAGAGGTAGTCTGGCCGATCATGGTGTTGAAAGCGAAGGACATCATAGTAGCCAGTGACACGCCCTTAGCACGGGTCTTCATGTCAAAGATCTCGGCGGGGATGATCCAGGACAAGGGACCGCATGTAGCACTGAAAGAGAAGTTGTAGATCCATGTGACGACTATGAAGCCCCATCCAGCTGCACCACCACCAGTGTTCTCGGAGCCAGGAGGGAAACTAGCCAGAAGAACAGTTGCGATGATGAAGGTGATGCAGTTGAGGATGTTGCCGCCGATTAAAGGCCAGCGACGTCCTGTTCTGTCAATGGCGAGCATGCAGATGAATTGAGCAACCAGGGCGATGACGGAGGAGATCATCTGGTATCGAAGGGTCTCGTCACCCTTGATACCAATCTTGGCGTAGATTTCAACAGAATAGTACTGAATAGCACTAACACCGGTCATTTGCGCAGCGACTTGCACAGAGATAGCAAGCCACAGGCGTCGAAAGCACGACCTATCAGTGAAAAGTTCACTATAGCTCTTGGCAGAAGCCTCATGTTCCATCGCAAGACGTTCCTGGATCTGATCAAACTCAGCCTTAACCCAAGTATCGTTGATATCACCATGCGCGTGAAGTTTGGCGAGTGTTTGAAGACCCTCATCAGCACGGCCGTGGTCAATCAACCAACGAGGAGACTCGGGGAAGAAGAGAATTAGAGCGGCGAGAATCACGGCGGGCAGGTTCTGGATGCCAAGGGGGATACGCCATTGGCCTGAGTTGTCGTCGCCAATGCTGGTGTATGTTCCGTAGCCGATGGCTGTGGCGACGAGGGCGCCGACGCCGAGCATGAATTGCTGAAGGGCTGTCACACGGCCTCGGATGTCAGGGTGGCAGAGCTCTCCTTGGTAGACTGGAACGATCATGACGAGAAAACCGACACTGACTCTGTTAGTTGTGATCAGATGCGGGTTCTGAGGGGACATACCCAAGACCAGCGAGACAACGGCCCGCGTAGAGGTAGTTGATGTGATCAGCAGCAGTCTGGAGACTACCACCGAGAATAAAGATCAAAGCACCGATCATGATCGTCCATTTTCTTCCGAGGCGATCACCAGCATAACCAGCGAACATGGCACCAAAGAAAGCACCGCCCGTGAATACAGACACAACAGCACCACTGGACTCACTCATTAGCTTAAGTCAACACATAAGAATGAGGTTAACGTACGTGGCATTGGGATCATCGCCAAACTTGCTCTTAAAGTTCCCAGAGGCAATGACCTCGGCAATTACACCGAGATCATAACCATAGAGAAGAGAGCCAAGAGAGGCAAACACAGAAACGAGGAACTGATACCACTTTGGTGGAAGAGCCATGATGTCGATGATGGAGGTTTATTTACTGAGCTGAGAGAGGATCTGGTGGTTTAGTGGGTGTATTTATACATGTTATTCTACAGGTATCCATTGCAAGGGGCCGTTCCGAGCACCCGAGCGTCAAGAGGAACTTTAGAAAAAGGATCATCGAGGCCCAAAGCAAGTTTGAGTTAGGTACGACATGTTTTTTTTCCCATGGGGTGAGATAACTCTAGTTGGGAAAATATGGGGGTCTACAGCGGGTCACTGCGGGAGAAATTGCCCATGGGGATTTGACGAGGAGCGAAGTTCACGTCTTTGACCTGTCAACGCGGAGATTATCAAGCCCTGCGATCCCTTCCGATTGGAGCGCACACAAAGTGCGGCTCTGTACCGCTACGCGTACCGACTTGGTTTCTATGACTGGTGCGCAAAGTTTACGACTGACTTACAGCAGACTCTAGCAGTGGAGAAGACTTCCGGACTTGGATCTCCCGGCCGAGAATAGAATCCACGGGTCTCGTGCTGCGGAGGAGGACAAGCGCGCCAATGGGACGAGTGGAAAGGTGGGTTAAGAAACGGCTTATACAGGGTTTAAACAAGCGCGGTGACATGTTGCGCCTGATGGTATTGTCCAAGGTGAGGGGTTCGCCGTACTTGACCGTTAGTATGGAGATGGCGTTGGAGGATCAGGCATAAATTGGTTGACTTCTCTCTTCTCTGCTCTGCAAAAAACACCGTCGAGTTGTTCTTGTAGACAAAGGTTCAGAATGGCTACGTTTACTCGCATTGCTGACGATGAGCGTCCCTCCATCTCGGTAGACCCCAGTGCTATCATCTCCAAGATCGAGGATAACATCTATGGCGGTTTCACAGAGTAAGTCCCAGCCTCACCCTCAGCTGACGAAATCACACCCTGACGTACGTGTTACAGGCACATGGGTCGCTGCATCTACGGCGGCATCTACGACCCTGGAAATCCCCTGTCGGACGAGAATGGTTTCCGAAAGGATGTCATTGAAGCCTTCAAGGAGCTCAACTGTCCTGTTGTGAGATATCCTGGTGGTAACTTTGTTGCTACGTATCATTGGCTTGATGGTGTTGGGCCTAGGGAGAAGAGACCTGCTCGGTGAGTGCCTCTTGTATGAGGAATTGAGTGAGAGGCTGATGGGGATAGACCTGAACTTGCGTGGATTGGTACTGAGACCAACGAGTTTGGTACGGATGAGTTTCTCAAGTGGTGTGAGGTTGTAGGCACGGAGCCTTACTTTGCTCTCAACTTTGGAACTGGTAAGTCTCATATTCCTCTCAAAGAAATAGCTACTAACTGAGTTTAGGTACTCTCGATGAAGGTCAGTCTCACCATCACTTTCTCAACACCAAATACTGACTCTGTTAGCTCTCGCATGGGTTGAGTACTGCAACTCCGACCGGCCAACATACTACGCCAACCTCCGTCGTCAAAACGGCCGCGAGAAGCCCTACAACGTACCCCATCCCTCTCCCCTCCTCTTCCATCTCATCACTAACACTCCCAGGTAAAATACTGGGCCCTCGGAAACGAAATGTACGGCCCCTGGCAAGTCGGCCAGATGACAAAGGAAGACTACGCCAAGAAAGCCTACCAATGGGCCAAAGCCATCAAGCTTCTTGATCCCAACGTGGAACTCATTCTCTGCGGCGAAACAGGCCACAGCTCTTGGGACGCGTATGTCATCAAGGAGTGTATCAAGTTTGACATTCACGGCCTGGGCGGAAGCACTACTGCTAGTCTTATTGATCAGCACAGCATTCACATCTACACTGCTAGTGAGGATCACTACAAGAACGCTACTGGTAAGTTCTCATCTTCATGTCTTGGGTGTTCAAGATGCTAATGGTATAGCCCCTCGCTCTGCTGAGCGTGCTATCGAGATCACAGCCGGTCTCATTGATCTCGCTCGCATCGAGAACAAAGTCCCCCCCTCCGTCCGCCGTCAAAAGATCTGCTTTGACGAATGGAACGTATGGGATCCCGTCCGCGCCCCCGGCGAAGAAGGCGCCGAAGAGAAATACAACCTCTCCGACGCCCTCGCCGTCGCAATCTGGCTGAACGTCTTTGTCCGTCAATCCAAGCACATGGGCATGGCCAACATCGCCCAAAGCGTAAATGTCATTTCTCCCCTGATGACCACAAAGGACGGACTCCTCAAGCAACCGACCTGGTGGTCCTTGTTGCTCTACAGCAAGTACATGCGCGGTTCTACAATCGCTGTGAATGTTCGCGCTGGAGAGTATCAGGGCCCTACACATCCGGAGTGGATTCGCGGTGCTATTGAGACGCCGTGGTTGGATGTTAGTGCTGCGCTTGATAAGGATGGTGTGGTCAACCTTGCTGTGGTGAACATCCACGAGCAGAAGGACTTTGAGACGGAGTTGAGAGGGTTGACGGGTGGTAAGGAGGTGGAGGTTCATACTGTTAGTGGAAAGGACGTCAAGGTTGTCAACACTGCTGAGAAGGAGGAGGTTGGCATTAAGGAGTCCAAGTGGAATGGCGAGGGCTTGTTTACGTTCCCCAAGCACTCGTTTACTCTGCTGCGCTGGAAGCTGTAGACTCCGATAGATCGAAGGATTTGGATATAGAACAATAGAAGTCAATTCATGATCTTTTTGCTATGTACGTATGGGTCGTGTACTAAACTTATCCTAATTTCACTGAACTTAATGAAGGCCATCTAAACTTAGGCCAGAAGCCTACATCTGAAGTCTTACTTCTCCTCTCCCTTGGTCTCCTCCGCACCATTCACAAGGCTCTCCTTCTTGTCTCCTTCACTCTCAGCCGCAACAACATCATTCTTAGCCTTCTCCATTAGCTTCTGTTGCTCCTCAACCCACTTTCCGGTAGCATCAACAGCCCCAATCGGATCCTCGTGCATGAGTAGATACCCCTGGATAGCCGCCGGACTAAACACCAGCGAGGGAACTAGCCTTGTAAATTCCTCCGCCAACGCAGCTACGGACTTTGTTGTGTCCACTGACTTCTCCGAAGGTTCCGTCGTCGCAGCATGTTCAATTGACCCAACCTCGTCGTGGGAGGTTCCGTACATTAGTCTGAACAGCTGGGTGATCGTTTCAGACGAAGCGAGGCCGAACTCAACGGAGAAGTCGACTCTTCCGGGGCGCAACAAGGCTGGGTCGATGTTTTCGGTGTGATTAGATGTCATCACCAGGACGCGACCTTCCTGCGCGCCTACACCGTCAATAACGTTGAGTAGGCCTGACAAAGAGATAGGTTCACGCATAGGCTTCGGTGGCCCGTTGTTTGCTTGGGCCTCCTGCTTCTTGCGCTTGTTGGTCAGGCCCGCTGCATCGATATCCTCCAACAAAACAAGACAGGTCCTAGGTAAATCGCGGAAGAGCGTTGCGAGGCTGTCTTCCGAGAGGTTAGGCGAGCTGAGACTGATCATATAGATATTGAGACCCATCAACCCAGCAGCAGCAAGCGTCAAACTCGTCTTTCCTGTGCCTGGCGGGCCTGAGAAGAGGTAGCCTCGTCGGTAGGGGATACCCCTCGTGGCGTACCAATTCTTAGTGCGAGGGTTCAAGTATCGCGAAAGATCCTTGATGAGGCTCTGCTTGATGGCCTCGTCGAGCGCAATAGTCGACATAGGCCGTGTTGGCTTGGACATACACTTTGTCCAAGAGAGCTCGTCTCCAAATGACTTGACTGCTCGATAGATGCTTGTGCGGCCTCGTTGTTTCTCGAGGTATTCGATGCGCGCGTTGTAGATAATGCGCTTGAGCACATCGGCGTTGCGACCGACGCATGAAAGCTCAATCTTCTCCGGGCGTCGTGAGAAGGGGGACGATTCCTGGCTTTCGACAGATCTTGTGAAGGAGATGAGGCGATTGTCATGCATAAAGAAATGCGTGCCCACAGAGGGTGTCCAATGCAAAGGTCTCGCATTATACAGTGAGATCTTGGACCTCAATTCATCAAGACTCGCAGTCGGATCAACATCATCCACATCATCATCCCCATCACCCTGATTACTCGGCGACGGGATCAGCGAAAAGGGCTCATGATCGAGGGTGCTCGACGCAAGAAGGCGATGGTTATTGCGCGAGAGCTTATGCCTCGCAACCCAGCTCATGACATAATTGAAGATCTCATCGTGCGCTTTAATCTCGACACTCGAGATGAACTGCGACTTTGCGGCGCTGCCAACGGCTTGGAAGAGATAGGGTGTGAGGTAGAGAAGGAATGCGACGGGCGGGAGGCTTGTGCCGCCGGGGAAGAGGGATTCTACTAGGCTGCTGACTGAGCCTAGGGCGAGGATGCTCTTTGTGCCAGTGGATGTGGTGTTGGTGTTGGCGGCCATGATGGATGATACTGGGGATGGGCTGAGGTCGAGAGAGGACAAGAGGGTGATTATATATTTACTCTGGCTGCCTTTTTCGTCATTCACTCACTCACTTACTCACTTGATGCTCGGCGCATTTTATTCACTGCCTCTTTTGACGTAGGCGTTGGCCAACAAGTCTCACCTGCATGAGGCAACGAATGCATCACGGCCAATTGACCGACCCCTGAAGTGACAAAAGAAATCGCTGGTCTACCTTAAGGCTTGTCGAGCTCTTACAAGTTTAGGATAATTGCTCAAGGTTCCAAATTCAAAATTAAATAATTAAAAGATGCTCTCTTCTTAGTCTCCCTTGACCTAATTTTGCTCATCTCACATAAATACCTGTCTGAATTATATAAACGTCTTGACTCCTCTAGACTTGGATTTCTGTCACCCTTTGCCGTTCCATCCAAAGAGGCAACCGTTAATGCAGCTGACCAACGGACCTGCATCAACAGTCGCTGTGCCTCGCCACTAACTGTCCCTACAGCGAGAACAGTGGCCCACGGTTTGCCTCTTTCTACAGCACTATCAAAGTCATTCCGCAACTTGCATTGGATCCTTGTTGATCGCAGCAGAAAGGGGGCCCACTTCAAAGCATCACAAGCTGCCTCTAAGTGGAGAGACACTTGATCAGCCTTATCATTGCAGTTGAACAAGACTGGGATGCGATGCGATTAATTGGTCGGTATGCCTGGAGATGGTGTTTTGTTGCCTTGGCGGAGTCATTGGGGTTGATGCCTACCCTAGGGTCACTGGCGAACCAGACCTAACCAGCTCTCGAATGAAGCAGCGAATGGTGGGCACTTTAGAGATGGAGTTATAGAAAGTGAAATATTGCTCATACAAACCTCGGAGTAACATCTGGTTGCCTAATCACAAAAGTCCATGATGTTCTGTGACTGTAAGCCATCTAGTCTTTTATCTTTAATCCATTTGAGCCACAGGACCGCTAAAAAAATAGCGTCAAATGCCCCGCAATTCTCTGAACTGTGTGAAACGTTTCAATCTCTCAGTTTCCCTAACGTCCCACTTCGTCCCTTTCAGAACCGCCATGAAACATCGTCAACCTCATGAGACTTGGACCTTCACCGTCATAACAACACCAACAAGTCCACCTGTTGCCAGGCACAGGAACAGCTCTAATTAGAAGGACCAAATAGTTTTTACGGCGAGATGGCCCAGTGTCGCAGGTACCTTAGCTGAATGGTTCACTTATTAGACCACCAACGATACTAAATACTTCATAGCTCAACGCGCAGACGCTCAGTAGTATGAGAAGAAACAGAAATTAAGAATGATATTTTCCAAAACACGAGTGGTATCAGCTGGCCCTTCAGCCATGAGGTCTTGCAACGCTCGCTCCATTCAGTAACAGCACCCAAACAGACACAAACCCCTGACCATAACCATATAGAAGAGAAAGTCACAGTACATTAACACAATACACGCTCCCATACACGCTACATGTTTTTCATGATTGTCAGATCATCTGACTATAATACAATCAGGTCGTCATGGCGTGATCCAGCACGGCATCCGGAGAGTTCTATAATCTCAGTTAGTTAAACCGTTCATCTCTTGGCACAAAACAACTTACCTTCTTGACTTCACCAACCATATCAACACCACTGTACCGCAGCTTATACAACAAGCTATCCAGTCTCAGGGGCCCCAGCCTCAATAGCGAGGCTACGAAGCTGTAATACTGCACATTGCGACAGATTCCCCTCTCCTTATCCTGCAGCTGCTCAAACTCAGCATACTCCTTCTCAAGCTGCCCTCTCATCTCAATCTCCCTTAGCGTCGCCTTTTGAAATTCCTCCTCGGCTTCTTTCTGCACATTCAGTATTGTAGTCTCGCAGTGCTGCAGTCTTGAGTTGTTATGAAGCAGAGTTTGTCTGTATTCATCCGACTCTGGGTGTACACCGCGTCGTTCTAAATTTTCTTTGAGAAAGGCTAGGCCGTCGATGATTTCTGCCCTTCTTGCCTGGAACATCTTTAGGTTTTCACATAGGGCTCGGAGTTTTCTGTCGGAGCCTTGTGCCATGGCGGATTCTGTGGCTTGGACTTTGGTTTTTGAGGTTGTGAGGAGGGATGTGAGTTTTTCCCCTTCTGATTTTTCTTGGAGTTCTAGAAGTTCTAGACTTTTGATGATGTCCTCTGGAGTTGATAGGGGTGAAGGAGTTGATTGTGCTTGCGGCTATGATGACGAGTAAGCACGTGCTGACTATAAGTTTTCAAAGACACTTTTACTTACCGAACTTGAGTTTGATTCTGTAGTGTTTTGAGCAACAGGCTCGTGGATGGCAACGTCAGAGTCGATGTCCATCTCTGGTTCTACTGACTCTCTGACGTGAGCTTCAGGCCGTTCAACAGTTTCAGAAGGCTCCTCAGGTTGAGGTTGAACCGAGGGTTCAGACTCCATGCCTTCAGTTTGCGGCGATGGGTTTGATTTAGGGGACTTGCAGTCCTCTCCCTTATCAGCGCTGGAGCTCCTGTATCCAGGAAAATCTGATACTGTTTCCACAAACATGGAGTCATCTTGCATCGTCTCGTCCACTTGATCTTCGTGGACGGTCGGACATGATGGCTCCGCACGTGTTGCCCCTGGAGAATCCGCCGTGACCGTCGTTACACTCGACGCTCTCGAAACAGGAGAGGACGCCGATGTGTAGTTGGACACGACCGATGAGGAAGACGGCGCCGGAGAAGCCCGTGACACAGCATGTGGTGTCTCCGGCGGCGTATCCTCAATCACGATCGGTGTCGCGGCGGTATTCTCACATGGCACAGACACTTGCTGTTGCTTCTTTTCTTTCTTGGTCTCAAGACTATAATACTTGAGGGTATTACTCAGATCATCTCTGGTGAGCTTCGGATTGTTCTTATCCCGCTCCCTCGCAGAGCGAACCAGAAGCACCTTGAGATTCTTACAGCTATCGCCGTAAAGATTGAACCTGCCTTGGTACCCCTTGATCAGATCCCGCAGGTCCCTCGTCATGGCGACAGTCCACTTCTCGGGCTCGAAGTTCTCAGTCCACTCCCATGGCCACTGCGTCGTGAGGTTCAAGATTTCTCTTGCGAGGGAATAGCGAGGATCTGGAGGAGGATCTTTCTTGTCTAGCTTCAGTCTGATCTCATCATCTGTCAAAGCCTTTGGTCCCGGAGGTGCTCTGTTATCAGACGTTGATGTCAGTCCTCTCTTGATGCGTGGCGCATATGAATCCTTACTGCCGTAGGGTCTGCCGATACGGCGATGGCGGGAAGAATCACTGGCCATTACATTAGACATTGTGCAGCATGTGACGAAGATGCAATCCTAGATGACTTACTCTGGGGAGCCACTCTCGATCGCGAGCCGATGGAGTATTTATACTCTGACGTTAGTACGGGTTATACCATCTTTTCTATATAACCCCACCATTCTCGAGACGCGTCAAAAAGGAGGCAGTCTAGAGCTGTGATAGTGACTGCAACCATCACATGGGCTAACTGTGACGTCAATATAGCATTCTAGACTTCCTCTCCACCAATGGCATTCTCCCATGACGCTGGGGTTTGAGGCAGCTGACCAGGTCCAAAGCCCAAACAGTGCAGGAAAACTCCGCTATATTCGTCTCGAACGAATATTTTAATACCTCTTAGTTAGTCTGCCCATCCACCAATCAAAGAATCAGAAACGATTAAAAGTATTACCCAAAGAGGCAATATTTCATGTCGAATTTGGACATCTTACACAGTGCATCAAAGAGGGGTAACAGAGTTTCGAATGAGCCGATCAGACGGTGAGTTTGATTGCCCCCGCTATATAGCGAGATTAGCAGGAATGTCTTGGTTATTTTAATAAAATACACACTACTCTTCTACACTATGAATTCGCGGGTAGCTAGCGCGTTAGTGTCCGTATTTTATTTGCTTCCCGAGACATGCCCAGACGTACAGTGTGATACTGTTAAAGGTGCCTGAGGCACCTACCTTATATATCAGCCGGACCTCCCGGCCCGAGACCTTAGTTAGCCACAGTTAATACATACACATCCCTCTTAACAGGTTATAAGCCCCTTATATATATATCTACTATATAATTAAAAGGATTTTAGCTATTACTATTAAATTTAAAAGGCAAAAATACCCTATTATAGAGGTTAAGCTGCTAAAAAACCTCCTATAAAAAGAAAATTAAGTACTTAAAGTGCCCTATATCCCTTAAAAATAATAAAAACTAGCATTATCTAGGCTAATAATACCTTAATTTGCTAAAAAAATAAAATTATAATTAGTTAGGCCTAATAATAAACCTATAAA